AAGTTTTACACATCATATTTACACAAAATATCAACTATTCATCTCTCAATTTTTATTTTTTGAGATTTATTCATATTTATTAAAAATAGTTATCTTTTTCACCTAAAAATATGATAAATCTTAATCATTAAAAATAAAAAATAAATTATTGAGATTTTATGTAAGTATAATGTATAAAATTTATATATAAATAAATCCCTCATCATATATATAAGTGTAAGTGTTTGTCAGTTGGATCTTAAGATGGTTAAGAAGATGGGGAAGAAACAGATGTACCTAGGTTGCTTGGTGATGGTGGGTGATGTTCTAAATTGAAACCGATATATAGTGGTTTTTTTGTAAATAAAAGGAAGTGTGAGGATAAAATAGGAAGAATAAATAAATTTCATTAAAATGAGAAGTAAAAATTCCTGCAAAAGCACGAATTTCATGCTTTTGAAGATCACATTAGAATGGAAAAAGATCAGCTTATAAGGACTTATATTTTTTATAAGCTGTGATGTTTGGTGCAATTAGAGCTTTTAAGTTCGAAAGGCACTTCTCATTAACTGCATCAAATATGCACTTAGCCTGATGTAATTGATAATTTAATTTAAAAATATACATAACATAAATTATTTGTGTCACGCCCCAAAACCCAAATTCGAGGTGCGACAAACGCCGTGCACTCATGAGAGGATCCCACAAATGCACAAGGCTTGGAACTTAATCATATCACAATCTGATACCACGAAATTTGAAGATAAAATTTTATAATTTACTATAATATCACAAATCTCCAATAAAGTCTACTTTACAAGATCATGATTTATTTCTAAAATCTATATCAATCTTGAAATGGCTAGCCTTCTAACTCGTCACTTCACGTGGTTTCCCTGTCCTTGGTTTCGCTTCCTGAAATGGTGGACAAGGAAAACTATGAGATAAACTCAGTAAGTAAAATATGAAGTGCCCTTAATTAAACTTATAGCATGCCAACAAGTGTAATCACGAAAAATGGTTACAGTGCAGAAACGAAATAGACGTCTCCTCTATAGATCACGGCCAATGTTATAAATCTCCCACTGGCAGACACACTATTTGCTGGTGTATAACCCCCACTAGCAAGGTCACTGAAATACCAGTGTTTAACAACTCCCACTGGCAGGAGGAACCGGCTCTATAGAAATACATGTCGACATGTTCTAGCGTTTATAAACCTTCCACTAACGAGCACAATAAAACATGACCATATCAGAGACAAAACAGGTAGAAGTTCACAGAAAAATCACAATTCATAATCACTTCCAAATTATCAGGACAGTCAAATAAATTCCAAGCAGGCATGCTCAAATCAATAAAAAGAATAATAATCTTATTTCAAATCAATCATGCTCATTTTTGTATAAAATAGGTTTAGTCTCGCCACCACTTCAAAAACAAGTTAAAATATGCTTTTAAAATCAAAAGGCGTTACCATAATTTACTTACCTTAAATCGCATAACATAGAAAATTCACTCTATAAACCGACTCAATCCAAGTGCTAGGGCAACCAACGATCAAGAACCTAATCAAAATATTCCAAAATTAATTATCTTACCACGGATTCAAAAGTAAAATCACCGTGACTACCCCCTAATCGCGATGCTATTTCCTATCAATCTCCACATGACTAGACCTCTCCAAATTTGTTCTTATATTACAAACTAAATATTTAAATCCCCGTTAATTGTTGGCCATCAGTGCGTGAACAGTGATGATAAACAGTACCCATGAATAGTAACTGATATTTCCAAAATTCAACTACAGCCAGCTAAAAGACCAGAAAAATGGATATTTCATCAGATTTTTCAGAGCAGAAACGGACTGAAAAGGAGCAGAAAATAGTAGCAAATTGCAGAAATTTCTGCGTGAACAGTAACTGGTGCGCGTGAACAGTGACTGCACTTCCAAAAATTGACAAAACCATAATTAATCTCACGGGTTTTCTCCAAAAATCACAGCAGCCAACTCAAGCAATTTACACATGAATTTAGCTTAATTATGCTCTAATTACTACCCAAATTCATCCCCATTTTTCAACAAATTCGGACAGCACATGGGGCAGGAATTAAATGGACAAATTTAGCAATTAATTGATGAAATTTTGGGCTTGGAGGAGCTGTCAACATACCAGAATTTGCAAGCACAACCGGACTGCAGTTTAGGGAAGGCCGGCGGGAAATTGGAGGAGCTTTCACGCCACTACCCAAAAATTGAAAGAAACCAAAAGGGATTAAAGTGCACCCAAGCCAAATTAAGGTTGAAAAGATGAAGTTCATGTTGTTTCCTTACCAGAAAAACCGAGAAACTCACCCCCACACACGATAGAGCAGTGGACGGAAGAAGCAGAGCAGGGCAGATCCGAATTTCTGCAGAGAGGGAGGGGATTCTGGGTTCAATTTGTGTTCTAGAGCAAGAAAAGAAGGGAAAAATACCAAGCTTTTACCAATTTTTCCTCAAGGGAGGGCTGCTGGAAACATGCTTCTTGTTCGGCTGCAGGGGGAAGAAAAGAAAAGCAGGAACGCGAAATGGCTGGGGAAGAAAGAAGGAAGAAAAATCACCCGGTCCTTATCCAAATCCTTTCTCTTTTAAGTCCCTCAAGTTTCAAAATATTTGCATTAGGCCCCAAAATGATATTTTCCTCACAAGCAAGTCCCTAACTCACACTCATTTATTCTAGAAATTTTTGGGGTATTATATCCACCCCTCCTAAAAAGGAGTTTTGTCCCCAAAACTCAAATTGGGGATCATCTAGAGTAGTTAATGGCTTCATGCAAGCCAAGGCAAAACAAATGCCTCACCAACTTCCTATGAACAGAGCATAGCCTACCACGTTTCCACTGCGCCACTCTGATATCAAACCACAACTAATCATAAAGGCAGAACATTAACTACTTAATAGGATTACCATGAAACAAGCTACTAGAGGCTGGGGTGATATGGGAAGCATAAGGAATAAAAATAAATCCTGCCAAGGCTACCAAAGAACAGTTGTGGGGTTACGCTATGAACCCAACACAAGACGAGTTGGCAAAGAATGGCATGGATTTAAAGACGAGTACAACAAAACTTTGAACTCTATCAAAGACAGATAAGCATTCAATGGATATATGGATCATGAATGAATGAACAAGTGCATGGATGCCTTACAAATTCTACCATAACAAGGTTAACCAATAAGTAAGGTCATGTTTAACAAAGCAACTGGAATCAAGAAACAGAATTTAGCAATTAACAAGAGTTAAAAGCTAGACCCATCAAATGACATGTAAAATTTCCAAAATAGCATCAGAATGAAATCAGTGGAAAATATGAATGCTTAGAAGAATACTAGAACATAAGAGTGCAAGGTAGAATGCCTCAAAAATTCAGCAACAAAACGACATTCACCAAGAATCAAGATCAAATTTAACCAAGCAGTCAAAATTGAGAGACAAGAGTTAACCATGAAACAAGCAATAGAATTCAAGGATTAGGCCCACAAAAGAGATTTCAATAAGGTTAAATGCTAAATTTGGTCCCTCAACTTTAGTGAGTTGCACATTTTTGGTCCCTCAACAATTTTTTTCATTTTTTTGATTCCTCAACTATACAAAATGCACTCCGTTAATCCTTCTGTCAATTTGGACCGTTAACTTAGCCACATGGCATTTTTTATATTTTTTTTTAATGACATGGCAAGCACAAATTAAAAAGATGCTTATCTGGACTTTTCTTTTTTGATGACATGTCATCTTCTTCACGCTAAACCCCTCCAATGGATCCCAGTTGCCTGCAAACTGGTCTCTCATCTTCACCTTCTGCAAAATCGATCTTAACCCATTTCTTCTTCTTCCGTGAATGCTCTCTCATCTCCACTCCATCTACAAAACCAATCTTAACCCACCCATTTCTTCTTCGTCTCTTTTCTCGGGGAAACTTGAGCTACTGGGTTTCATTGAAACCTCAAACCTGGCAGATCTTATCAAATCAAAATAACCCTTCAATAAACAATACCAATCAAACTCTAATCGAATTTCAACAAAAATACAATCAAACTCAAATTCCAACAAAAATGCAATCAAATTATAAATCAATCTCTAAATTTATTAACAATTAGAAATGGAAATCGAAAGAAGAATGAAAAAAACAAGAACCAGCTTTCCAAGCAAAGCTGGGTTTCAACCGACCCCAGCAATTGAAAATTTCTCTTTCTCTATTGAATCTACAACAAGATAACAGATAATTAGCAAGCATACAAGCATATTTTGCATCGATCAAGTAAGAACAACTTAATTACCAGTTTTTCGAGTCTCTAGCTGCTTCTTGACTGCCAAAGCTTGGAACTTTACCGGCCAAAATCGAAAACTGAAACGAAAAGTTTCTGTTTTCCGCAAGGAATAGCGAGAGAGTTTAGGGTTTTGACTAGCAGCAATAACGGGTGAAGGCGAAGCAAACGGTTGCGGTCGGCGAAGCACGGTCGCTCCCCACATCAGATCAAAACAGGAGGGAAATCGGAAACCTCGGAGGGTGGGGAACCCAGCCTTGCTGGGTTCGTCGAAACCCAGATCTGCTGGGTTCCGATGAACCCAGCCTTGGTTGGGCGACGAACCCAGTAAGGCTGGGTTTCCACCAAACCCAGCCTATCCCAGGGCAGGAAAGAAAGAAAGAAAGAGAAAGAAAGAAGGGGAAGAAGAGGAATTGGGAGGGTGAGGGTGAGGGTAGTAAAGTAATTTTATATGTTTTTAATTAAAATATGTATATTAATCTATGTGGCATTTTTATTTATTTATATAACATAATTATAATATATATTATTGCCACATCATCAAAAAAATTAAAAAACAATATCACATGAAATTATTTAATTGCCACATCATACTTAACTGACGGAGGGACCAAAACTGTGCAATTTTTAGAGTCAATGGATAAAAAAAAATGTAAAAAATTGTTAAGGGACCAAAAATGTACATTTTGTAAAGTTGAGGGACTAAATTTAGCATTTAACCTTTCAATAATGACAACCAGAACACACAGCAGATATAACCAGGATGTCAAGATTTAACACCCCAAATAACACGAATTAATTAATAGAACAAAGCAATGGCTGGGATTAAGATGCTTAAAAGATTCATGTCTTCTAGTTAAAGGCCAAACAAGAATCTAAGCAATTAGATAAAAGAACCATTTCTCTTGGAACAAAACTTTAGGGTATCAGGTACTTCAAAGACTACCCCTTCACCTCATAGCCCATGGAGGCTAAGCAGATTTACAATCAAGTCATCTTAGACATCCTAGAGTCAAGTCAAAGCTAAGACATCAAGGATACAGAGATTAACACTTGCAAGAGACAAGGATCAGGATGCCTCATATGGGTATTTTCTAATAATCGTCACCCCTCCTAAAGAGGTGTCCATATGAACAAAAATCAAAAATCAAAGATCAAGAAGACCAACAGGTACACTAAAACAAGAACTAGCAGAATATGCAGGATTTGAGTAAGAGCGGTATACAGAATTTAAGCAAGAGCAAGAGTCAAGACAAGAATGGTTTTCAAGGACAATTCAAAATGGATTCCAAAAACCAAATATCAATTGATTTTCAAGAAAAGGATATTAACATGACTTTACTTCAGGCAAGGCTCAAGATAAGATTCCAAGAACAGTGCAAGAATTAATTTTAGACAAGTATCAAGATAATGAGGATTTCAACAATCATTATCCATTTTCTTAGGATTTCAGTTTCAAGAACAAATACAAGGCAATCTCAAGAAAGATTCAAGATGGATTTCAAGAGCTTCAAGTAGTTCCAGGTATCAGAATGTAAAGGTTAGCAACAATAGAGAGTTTAACTTTATGACAACTTGCTAATCTTCACAAAAACACGATAATTTCAATTGAATGATCACTGTTTTTTATTAACCAATATAGAAAAATGAGCCACATGAAAAGACCATGAAGCTCTAAATGGAAAAAGTGAAACTTCACTATAAGACTTTCAGAAAAATAATGAGCGGCGAAATTACCAAGTTATCTAGCTCCTAAAACGCATCTAGAAAACACACAACATTTGCTAAAATAGCCTTGAATCTCTTACGAGTAGAGGGTTGCCCATCTTCCATTGGTCATGTGACAAACAGGACAATTTCTCAACCAGCTATGCTGTAGAGACCAACAGGATCAATAACAAAAGATCTCTGCAACTCCCCAGATTTTCCAATTGTGGCAAAAGAGCATACAAAAATTCTATTCAAGTAACAAGTCTAAACAAGTGTAGACTATCAGAAAATGACCAAGTTTCAAAACAAGGTCTTAAGAACATGGCGGACAAGATTAATTTCATGAATCTACATAGGGTATGAAGGCAGGAAACAAGAACAATCATATTACCATCTCATCAAAATGGATTAGGAAATTTAGACAATATGAGTCAGAATCGTCCCTTATATAATCCCATCACTCGTCTCACCACAGTTCTAAAATCCACTGGCCAGCCAAGTTCTAAACAAATCCTAAGTATTCAATTAAACCTAGGTATTTAATTAAACTTAAGCTCAATACCACTCAATCTGGAGGTGCTTAATTTAATCATAAACTCTTAATTTAAATCTAAGCTCTGATACCACTAAATTTATCACACCCCAGAACCCAAATCTGAGGCACGACAAACGCCGTGCACTCGTGAGAGGGTCCCACAAATGCACAAGGCTTGGAACTTAATCATATCACAATCTGATACCACGAAATCTGAAGATAAAATTTTATAATTTGCTCTAATATCACAAATCTCCAATAAAGTCTAGTTTACAAGATCATGATTTATTTCTAAAATCTATAGGTTAAAACCCCTTTTTGGTCCCTGAACTATTGTACGGACCCCCGATTTGGTCCCTGAACTAAAAAAATCCCTGATTTGGTCCCTACTGTTTACCATTTTACCCCGATTTGGTCCTTCCGTTAAAAATTGTGTGACGTGGC